ATTTCAATATTACAACATTAATATACATTTGTTTAATTATCCATAGCGTAAAGTGTAATTCACAATCCACAAAAAAAAAAGAAAAGAAAGAAAAAACACATCAAATTGCAGTTATAAGGATCGATACATGATCAGTTTCCAATTTAACAATTCTCCATTATATAAAACATATATGGGACCAATAGATCACGAATTTCTCGAATTGAAAGATATGTATAGAATTACATCTTATATCGAACCCTTATCCATTTTACATTTGATCAATACCCTATTTACCATATTAATCATCTATATCTTTATATAAATTCTAAAAAAAAAAAAAAAATTGAAATTAAGATTCCCCTTTTTCCTTTCTTTCCATTCTCTTTCTTCTTTTTCTTCTCTCCTTTCCTTTCCCTCCCATTTTCTTTCCTTTTCCCCCCTTCTCCCCCTCCTCCTTCACTCCCCCTATGTACAAATAATTTTACAACATATATGAGACTCGGTGTGGGCTGGGTCCTAAACTAGCAGTTCGTTATTGTATAGGAAATTTGGAAGTCCAGGGTAGCCAAAGCTCTCTTAAATCTCTAGTTGAAGATTCCATCTTATATTGAACCTTATTTGTTCCATTATTTCTTGCCAAAGTGGTGGATTAGGAGATTTCCATGCTCTAGCAATATTGATTTTTATTGCAAAGAATGTGTGTCATAATATATTTTTGTTGTTTCTCAAATGATTTATAATCCATGTTAAACAAAAACATTTCGGGACTAATTACAACAACCTCCTTAAAAATACTTTTCATTAAACCTAACATTTGGGTCTTGATATTATTCAGACCCGTACAAGCCCACCATATATGGAGCATGGTACCCTCTTCTCTTCTACATCTCCAACATTCTTTTGAGTATAATGGGGATATTTTATGGAGTCTAACCAGGACCATTTAAAGATGATCTTTAAATGTGTTTCAAATAAGGATATATTATGTATGCTTTGTTTTACTAGCATTGTACCATTTGTCCAATCTATCAGTGGGAGGGATTTTCCCATATCCCTTTCCCATTTACCAAATGGAGGCACATCAGTAACATTGTCTAATGTATCAGTTTATTAAATCTGGAAATTCCTCCCTTTTTTTGACTACAAATAATATAAGGTTCAAGATAATGATCTTTAATCAATGTTTTAGTTAGAAGAAAATTCTTGATCCTTAAGTATTGAAATATTTCCCTAGGTAGAAGTTTATATTTAGATTGTAGTTGTGTAAATGTCACCAGTTTAGATCCCTCATATAAATTTCCAATTTTTTTTTATTCCAAGGTGTATCCAGGATTTAGTATTTATATCTGACATAGCATAATTAAGTATTTCTATAGGTGTATTAGATAATAATTTTCCTTTAAGGTCCAACTTAATATTCAAATATTTTGCAAAATCCACCATATCTCTTATAATTTTATTAGAAAATTGCTCCGTTTCCAAAACCCCCAGATTCAAAAGTCCTAACCACCCTAGGATGTGTAGCTTTTGTCCTGGTCCTAATTTCTGTTCTATTTTAATCCAGGATCTAGATATGTTTTGATCCAAATTTAACCATATCATAAGCTGAGAGGCCCTGCTTGCTTCATACATCCTGATCACATCAGGAAATGCTATACCCCCTTTCCGGTAGCTTCTGGATAGAATCTCCGTCGCTATCCTAGGTGGTTTATCACGCCATATGTAGCTAGAGAATAAACTTTGAAAGCGCTTCAGAGTACCCCGTTCAATACTATATGGAATCATCCTGAAGAAATATAGGAGTTTTGGCATCAAGTACGATTTAATAATATTAACTCTTCCTATCCAAGATGGTTCTAGTCTCCTCAATTTATGTATCTGAGATTGTAGATCTTTATATAACTTGTCAAAGTTTATCAGAATTGTCTTTGTAGTATTAAATGTTATCTTTATACCTAAATAATCGATTTTATCTTTTATACATTCTATATGGAAATGGGAGGACAGGATTTCTAACTGTGTCTTGGTCAATAGAAATGGAAGAACTTGAGATTTATTAATATTGACCTTATAGTTAGAGAATTTACTATATATAGAAATGTCTTCTAGTAACGGTGGGATTGATAATAGGGGGTCAGCAAGAGTAAGTAGAACATCATCAGCGAACAAAGAGTCCTCTTGAAAATCTATTCCTTTTATCTTTTCGTTCTGTCTTATCATCGTAGCCAATGGTTCGATTGTAAGAATATATAGGAGTGGAGCTAACGGACAACCCTGCCTAGTTCCATTCTTAATATCGAAGGGATCAGAGTCAAAATAGGGGCTGCTAATTCTTGCCGAGGAGTTTCTATATAAAGATAAAGTTTTATTTCTAAATGCGCCATCCAATCCGAAATGGCCCATGACAGAGTCCAGGAATCTCCAGTTGACTCTGTCAAATGCCTTCTCGGCATCTAGAGCAATAATAACAGATTCCCTTTGTTGTGCGCTCACTCTATTTATTATATTAAAAATCCTCCTTGTATTATCAGAGGTACTTCTTCCTTTCACAAATCCTGACTGGTCCCAGTTAATCAAATCTCCCAATACTTCTTTTTAAACGGTTAGCCAAAATAGCCGAGAATATTTTAATATCAATATTTATTAGTGATATTGGTCTATAGTTAGCAATTATTGTATTATCTTTATCTGGCTTAGGAATCGGAATAATTGTTGCTAACATCATCTCTTTTGGAAATGAAACATCACTAGATATTAACGAGTACATCTCTAAGAGAATTGGAGTAATTATTTTCATATATATTTTATAAAAGGTAGCAGAGAATCCATCCGGGCCTGGTGCCTTATTTGATTTTAATTTCTCTATCGCTTCTTCAATTTCCAATTCTCTAAAAGGGGCATTTATATATTCTAGTTTCTCTTGGCTTAACCTAGGAAGTCTAAGTTTCTTAAGAAATCTGTCAATTTCACCATTACTTGCCTTGACCTCTTCTAAATTATATAACGAGCTATAAAACTCTGCAAAAGCCTCTGCTATACCTTTAGGTAAGCTTACAACCTTTCCTCCCTTTGTCATCAGTTTTTTTTATAGATTTATCTTTATGTTGGTTCTTAATTTTATTGGAGAGATCCCTATTGATTTTATTTTTATTATGGTACCATCTTTGTTTAAGGAAGGATAGATTTTTACTAATCTCCTCATATATTTTTTCCTTAATAGTTAGCTTTATATTATTAATTTCCTCTATTAATTCTCTAGTTATTGATATTTTATTTAACCGTTCCATTTTCGCTAGTTTAATCCTCAGGAATTGTAATGATTCACCTTTCTTCCGTTTATATTCAGAACCGAACTTTATTAATAGTCCTCTTATGAAACTTTTTAGGGTACACCATACAATTGGTGTTGCAACTTCTCCGTTGTAATTAATTTTTAAAAAATTCTCTATTTCTATTTCTATTTGGTCCTTGATGTAGTCAAGTTTCAAAAGGCTTTCATTAAGCCCCCATTTAGTCCTTGGGGTATTACCTTCTTTTATCCTCATTCTCAAGAAGACTGGAGCATGGTCTGAAATTTCTATAGAGCCAATTGTAGATTTTATGATGTTATTAAAGACCCTCTTTCACAAAGAACATATCGATATGAGAATAAGTTTGGTGTACATGCGAAAAAAATGTATAGTCTCTTTCCTGAGGATTCATAGTTCGCCAGCAATCAAACAGGGAATTTTTAGCTAAAAAAAATCAAATAGACCAAATATTCCTATATTACAAGGGTTACCATTCTCTGAATATTTATAACTTCTATCTTTAGCTAGGTCAACAACACTGTTAAAATCTCCTCCTATTATAATACTACCACAGGCGACTTCATCTACAATATCCATAATTTGATCTAACAAATCTGACGGGTTGTAATTCGGAGCATATATATTTACAAAAGTATATGTGAAACCATAAATTTTTATAATTAGAACCTGATATCTACCATTTTTATCAGTTATTGAATGAATAATTTCAAGGCTAAGTCGATTTGAGATAATAATAGCCGTTCCCCTTTTTTTCTTCTTACCTTCTAAATTTGCTGCGTAAACTGTAGGGAATTTTTTATATTTCCATAATCTATCAGGGGATTCAATCCAGTGAGTCTCCTGAATAAAAGCTACGTCAATTGAGTTTTCAATTAGAAATTTATATACTGCTCCCCTTTTTTGAGGTGAATTCATGCCCTGGACATTCCAAGTAATTATTTTAAGTGACATCTCTATTCCAGAAATCCCTATCCCATCCCAGACCGAGTCTCACACAGCTATATATAAAAACAAGAAAAAGGGGAAAAAAGGAAAAAGGAGAAAAAAAGCAACCAAAAATAAAAAAATACAAAAAATAAGATTTTAAAAATAAATGAATTGTGAACAAAAAAAACCACAGAGGGGAGTAAACCCCCCGCCTTTAATAATCGAAGAGGAGATCATTCCCATATCACCCTTGGACTAGCCTGCCCTGATATGCAGGAAAATAAGGTTCCATTGGGGAATGAGAGGGACACCTTAATACATACAAGTTTTAACCCTTGGCCAGCAATTACTCACCTCCAGAACTATTATAAAATTTTTATCCATTAACATCAATTATATATGAAATAGAGGATAGGGTTATTTTATCCCTAAAATTCTTTGTATATGTATGTCTATATAAGCTGTACAAACTTTAAGTAATATTATTAATTCAAGTTATTCATCTTATATTCATCATTAGATTTCCCAAATTATAAGATGTAGACATGCAAACATGTAGATGTGGGTACAGATAAATCATTCTATTATTTATAACAGAGAATCTGTATCCATAATAACATAATAGCGAATCAGAATGAAATATATTTATATATTTACAGGAAAAAAAAAAAACCCCAAAACTTTCCTTTCCTTCCTCTTTTCTTTCCTTTTCTTTTTTTTTCTCTTCTCTATCCTTATATCATATTCAGCATATTATTATATCAATACAACATTAAATAGGTTGTTCCAACTCCTGTTCCAATATTACACCAGGATGGAGATGAGAGAGAAGAAGATAAATACATAGAGAAGTAGACAAATTTTACCTCACTTCATCCTAAATTTTATAGCTAGTGATAAGTGGATTATTCCATTTTAAATATCTTCCTTCATATTGATATCAGTGAGTTGATTGAAACAATTTTGCTCCTTATACATCTATATGTTACAAAATATTAATATAACAGCCTAATATTTGTAAAAAAAATTTAAAAAAAATAACGGCTATATTTATTATCCTGTACTTGTGGCAATAGTTTAGGAGCTATAAATTATTATTTCACGATCATTTTTGTATTAAGATTGTATTACAAGATATGACATTTCATAAAATAATAACATGTTACTACATTTTAAAGACTACAATAAGTCAAGCAGTGTATCAAGGCATAGTATCATGTTAATATGTATAACACAGAAACATGTCAGTTTATAGGGACATATAGCTAATTATTATTTTCATATATGATAGAAGAAATAGTATCCTTTTTATTTTTTTATTTTTTTTTTAGGAGCTATAAATTAGTGTAATACTTTGCAAATAGTTCCCCACGGGACCTTGGTGTGGATGTCCTGGCCCTCTGTGAACTGCTTACTCTGGTCCCTGAGGACAGTACAATCTCTCAATCCTGCCAAACACTTGCATCTTTTTCTGGTTTTAGATAGTTAAATTTTTAGGTATTTTAAACGGTACTGACTAAGTACCTGGTATTATCAGGCATGAAAGGTCACCTACTCTCTATCAGGTTGTTTAATAATGCTTCTGCAAAAGCCAAGCAATGTAAGCTCATTTTTACGATGGGATAATATGGGATGTTTACGTGGAATAAATTAAGTATTAAGATTAGAACATAAACATTTTGCACAGTTTCACCTAATGTCTGTTTCTATTGTGATCATGTGCAGTAGTAAATTTACATTGGGACTGGTCATGCAAATGGTGCCTGTAAAATTACACTTTTGTATAAAAAGCGTTCACTATAATGACATTTGAAATGTGTTTCACCTTAATTTTCCTCTTGATATATCAATATCACTATCCGAAATGCCTTTAAGCTAGTGAAAGACAGGTGCAATGACACTTATTAACACTTGGTGGCAGGAGTTTGCCTTGTTGAAAGACTTGTACTATACGCAGCAACTGGCCATTTTCCAGCATGTTTGTATGTTCAATAATTTTCAAATCTTTACTGTCTTCATGACAAAGTGTTAAGTATTTGTTTTGTCGTCCCCCCAGACTCCCAATATCATATGGAATAAAATAAATGGACAAACAGTATCACTGCTTTTCTTTGGGTTTATGTAAATTTACAAAGTGTTATGGTGATATTGCTATTAATATATATTTTTTGCATGTTTCTTTTTACCCCTTAAGGACCAAACTTCTGGAATAAAAGGGAATCATGACATGTCACATATGTCATGTGTCCTTAAGGGGTTAAACCTGCTGTTTAAAGGGGTCTTATAGCATCAGGAATCCAAAGCTGTATGCTTGGTCGTGGATCTTGAGTAAGGTCTTGCAAGCTTACAGATAAAGAATAAGGTCAGCAAAGTTAAAGTACCACTCCACACTAAAACACTTGGGGGAATTTAAAAAAAATCAATAAAAAAAATCACTATTTACCAGATTTACCCCAATGAATACATACATGAATTTTTCTAACATGTATTCGCTTAGAGTATATCTTCTTTCAAAAGTTGCAGCTCTGCCACCATTGCAATCCCTCCAGTTATTCCCTGGAAGAGACTATCAAAGGCTTCCCATTGAGACTCCTCTGAAGCCAGTGGCTTACACACAATCCATGGGGCCCCGGTGCAAAACTGATCCATGTGGGACCCCCTCCCTCTCTTCTTCCCCCCCTTGACTCCCCCCACCCCGACACACACACATACATAGAGACACACACATAAACACACACAGACAGACTGATACATACACACAAACAGACACACACGACACACATACATATACAGATACACAGACACACAAAAACACATACAAACAGACAGACACACACATACATACACACAGGACACATACATACAGACAGGCACACATACAAACAAACACACACACACACACATATACACAAAATATTTACGTCACCCTCCTGTTTCCTACCTTTTAGGTGCAGGAGGATGACATTCCCTGGGGTCCAGTGGTGGCTCAGGCTGGTGGGAGTCAGCATTCCCAATCTGACTCACTGTGTTTCCTCCCGTGCGGGCTCTGTGCAATAGCTGGGAGGAGTGACGGGCAGTCACTTCCTCCAAGCAGTGATGTCATCACAGGGGGCCTGGCCGCGCTGTTAAAGCCCTAACAGCATGGGCCACCAGATGGACACCTTGAATGGCGGCGCCAGCGGTTTGCCACGCAAAAAATCCAATGCAACCCAATAAGTCTCTCTAACAAATAGGGTACGAGTCTTAGATTGTAGCGGGATATAGGATTAACTCTGTGACTTCGTAGTAGTAGTATTTACATGTTACCAACATGCTCTGCAGTGCTTTACAATTATACCCACTTCCCTCAACAACACAATTACATTAACATTAATCCCTCTCTGCTTCACTCCCTCCTTCTCTCATCGCAAGCCTTGCACTCATTTCTCTTTTCTCTCTCTCCTGCTAACTCAATCTCATCCTAGACCCCGATCATATAAAACCCACTCACACCTTCTGTCACTCTCTCCTCCTACTTCTAGCAGCTGGTGATGTCTCACCCAACCCATGCCCTTCACCTCATCTGTTCACACTAAGACAACCATAAACAACACAAACCTCATCCACATACCCTGCAGTTTATCCTCCTTTACCAACATTCAGTGTGCACTCTGGAATGCCCGTTCAATCTGTAGTAATATTAAATCAACAGCTTTACATGACCTTGTCATCTCTAACTCACTCACTCACTCAATATTGGCACTCACTGAGAACTGGTTGTCCCCCTCTGATACTGCTACTCCCACTTCTTTATGTTTCAGTGGACTACAATTCTCCCACACTCCCAGACTCAACTGTAAAGGTGGCGGTGTAGGCATTCTTCTCTCCCCTCAATGTACCTTTCAACCTATCCTACCCGCCCCTGCCCTTTCCTTTACTTCCTTTGAAGTTCACACTCTCCGCCTTTTTAAGCCTATTCTTTTAAGAATTGCCATCATCTATCGCCACCCCCAGTCATCCTAAGTTATTCATCGAACACTTTTCTTCATGGCTACCCCACTTTCTCTCCTATAGCACTCCCCCCCTCATACTTGGGGACTTTAATATCCCAATCAACAACCTTAACTGCCCTGATGCCTCCTGTCTGTTCTCTGTAACTGCCTCCTTTGGCCTCACGCAGTTGTCTACTTCAGCAACTCATACGGCAGGAAACACTCTTGACCTCATCTTCACCAATCTCTGTACCACCTCAATAGTCTCCTTTTACCCATCTCAAATCTAACTTGCCCTAACTCGGCTACCTCACTCTACAACTCAACTCTCTCCTCTCAACTCGACATCATGGCACCTCCTACAATTAAACGCAGCAAGCACCCCCAATTAAAACCCTGGCACACCAAGCTGACCCGTCACCTCCAAAAATGTTCTAGAACTGCTGAACGCTGCTGGAGAAAGTCTCACTTTGCACCTGACTTCCTCCACTATAAATTAGCTGCGCTCCTACAGCCTGGCTCTTTCCGCTGCAAAAGTACACAACTTTAATACCCTCATAAGTACACTGTCCCATCAACCCAAACACCTTTCACACTCTTGATGCTCTTCTTCGCCCTTTCACCCCCCCTCCTTCTACCACCTTGTCCGTCACAAACTTTGCATCTCACTTCATTGAGAAGATCTCTACAATCAGAGAAGAGATCGCTAATTTCTCTCCTTCCCCTACCATTACATCACCCAACCCCACTCCCTCCACCACTCATTCGCACCTGCTACAGCAGAAGAGGTTTCTTCTCTGCTCCGGTCCTCCCGCCCCATCACCTGTTCCCTCAATCCTATCTCATCCGCACTATGTCTCCCTCTCTTGCTCTTCCCCTCACTAAAATTTTCAATCTCTCCCTTTCCTCTGGCACATTTCCCTCACCCTTCAAACTTGCAACTGTAACGCCAATTCTGAAAAAGCCCAGCCTTGACCCTAACTCCCCACCTAACTACCGCCCTATCTCGCTACTGCCATTTGCCTCAGAGATCCTAGAGAGAGTTGTGTACACCAAACTGACTGACTTTCTCGAAACCAACTCTCTGCTTGACCCCCTTCAGTCTGGATCCCGCGCTGGTCATTCTGTCGAAACAGCTGTGACCAAATTATCCAATGATTTAATTGCTGTTAAATCTTGTGGCCATTACTCTATCCTAATTCTCCTTGATCTTTCTGCTGCCTTTGACACTGTTGATCATCAACATCTTCTTCGCATTCTCCGTAAATTTGGTCTACGGGATACTGCTCTCTCCTGGTGCTCCTCCTACCTCTCCCAGAGCTCCTTCAGTGTTTCTTTCTCTGACTCTGCCTCTTCCCCCCAACCACTCTCTGTCGGCATCCCCCAAGGTTCTGTCCTTGGTCAACTACTGTTCTCTATCTACACTGCCTCCCTTGGTAAACTCATCAAGTCGTTTGGCTTCCATTATCATTTCTATGCTGATGACACGCAAATCTTCTCCTGATCTCTCTCTCTTCGCCCATCTTGACTCGTGTCTCTGACTGCCTCTCTTTCGATTTCCAAATGGATGGCTGCTCACTTCCTTAAACTCAACCTGTCCAAAACAGAACTTCTGATCTTTCCTCCCTCAAGTGTTACTACTCCCGTGTCTGTCTTCCTCCAAGTCAATGGTGCTACCATAACATCTACCTTGCAGGCTCACTGCCTGGGTGATCTTTTTGACTCCAACCTCTCCTTCACCCCTCATGTCCAATTAATCCTGTCACTTCCATCTCAAAAACATAGCGCGCATCCGCCCCTATTTAACCCTGGATGCGACTAAGGTGCTGGTCCATGCTCTTGTTCTCTCTTGCCTGGACTACTGCAATAGTCTTCTCAGTGGTCTTACGTGTTCCCAGATTGCACCGTTGCAATCTATAATGAATGAGGCAGCAAGGCTCATTTTCCTGTCCGCTCACACCTCCCCGTTCTGTCAGTCCCTGCATTGGCTCCCAGTTAGATATAGGGCTCAATTTAAAATTCTGGAGCTTGCTTACAAGTCCCTTCATAATGCTGCTCCAACCTACCTATCCTCCCTAATACACAAGTATGTCCCGTCGAGGCCCCTACGCTCTGCCAAAGACCTACGGGTATCCTCTGTCCGTACTCCCACCTCTAATGCTCGCCTCCAAGACTTTTCCAGGGCTGCACCGCATCTGTGGAACTCCGTTCCCTCCTCCATAAGAATTTCACCCAGTCTCCACTCATTCGAAAAATCATTGAAAACTAATTTCTTCAAAAAAGCATATCAATTAAACTGTTAGCAGGTTTTCATCCCCCACACTCCATGACTCCTCTCCTGCAACTGTCAAAAATTACCTATTAAGCCCTCAGCGAATACTTTTCTAACAACTTACCTCGTACCCCTACTTTTACCCTTTGTGTCACTATACCCCACTCCCTCTAGAATGTAAGCTCATTGAGCAGGGCCCTCCACCTCTCTGTTCCTGTACGTCCAATTGTCTGGTTACAATTAAATGTCTGTTAGTCCACCCTTTGTACAGCGCTACGGAATCTGATGGCGCTATATAAATAAAATAATAATAATAATACAGTGGAGTGGATTTATTCCTGTGTAACAGCAAGTAATTGACAGATACAATATGAGAGATTATTCACTAACCTTGTGGGTTGCGGCCCACAGGTGGGTCTCGGCTGATTTTTGGTGGGTCGTGCTGACCCACGCCGGGGACTTGGGAGACAGTCAAGCCCGACACCAAGTGTCCAGCGGGGTGCCACTGGGTGCATGGCCCCTCTGAAACACGGATAAAGCCCTGCGCATCCTCCAGTCTGCAGCTCTGCCTCAGCCGCGGGCAGGGCTGCAGACCATGCAGTAACTGTCAGTGAGCTCTCTCTCAAAATTATTTTTATTTATATATAGGTATATATAGTGATATATACATATATATTTATGTATATAGATATATATTATTTCGTATTTTGAGATAAAGATATATATATATCAAATAATTTATTTTTTATATCAAAATACAGTTAAAATTAAATTACACATATATTATTTCTTTATATTTTTATTTATCTCAAAAATGTATTGTTCTGAAAAGTTGGTCTCGGTCCCTAAAAGTTTGGGAAGCCTTGCTTTAGATTATATGAACGAATAGCCAAAATGTGACTGAAGTTCATTTGGATAATTTTGTCCATTTCAGCTAATTCTGAGTTGAGAATGTGTCCAGTTCAGCTAATTTTGTCTAAATGTATCAAATCTGTTTTCAATTCACTACCATCCACAGTTAAGTGAATAAAAACCCAATGTCTCCAGTGAAAGAGGGACTATGCTCTTTGGAACACTGACACCATTTTCGAGCATATCCTGCAGACAGAAACTAAACGAACCAGACATTTGGTGAACAGTAAAGACGTCTCAGTAATCTGGTAATCCAGAAGGGAAGTAATTGTTTGAAATAGTAAGCTGCCAGAAAACAAAATATATTGGTTTATCATTTATCACTTACTATGTTGGAAGTTCACTGAAAAGATATGCGGAAACAAAGTAGGGACACTTGGCGGAGTTACCGCCTCTATAAGTGTCAATCCCCTAGCCGTCACCAGTGATGGCTGCAGAGATATTACCTGTATCCATGGGCGTCCGCAGGAATTTTTCCAGGGGGGGGCATAATTGTAATGACATCCATGCTTGGTACCTTTTTGACGTCATGAAAGGGAAGGGGCATAGCCATTATCACATAAAGCCAGGGTGAATAGCGTTTTCACAACTATGGTGTCAGAAATATAATTTTGTATTCCTGATACTATAGTGTTCCTTTAAGCAAATTAAAGGACCATTCTGGTCACCATAACAACTTCACCTAAATGAAAATGCTATGATGCCAGGAAGCCCCTGGGTGCTGGCTTTCCTTTAAGGGGTTAAATCGCTCTCAAATGGTTTAACCCCAAAGGCTTCCTCCAGCTCCAGGTCACTCAGTGGTATTTGGCTTCTGAAACAGAGTGTCAGGAAGTGCAGATTGACGTCAGGCATGGGTGCCGCTGATTGGCTAGAGTGGACAGTTGACGCTCTAAGCCAATCGCTAGTTCCCGTTTCATAAAATATTTTTACTTTTTTATGAATGGGGAGCTACTGATTGGCTTAGAGTGCCAGCTGACCGCTCTAGTCAATCAGCAACACCCCTACCCAACGGCACTCTGTGTTTCCTGACACTCAGTAAATAAAAGTGAACACATTAATACTGATATTTTTTTACCTTTGGAGATGAGAAGGTCCAGTGTTTCCCTGCCTGTCCCAGGTACCAAAGCCTTATGATGTGGTATCCAGAATAAAGTGGAGGGTTCACTTCATTTGTCCTTCCTGCTCCAATCTCCTTTTCCTCTCCTTCATTTGACAGTCTTTTTTTTTCTTTTGACACTGTTTTCTATCCTTGGCCCCTTCTGCTCTTTTACCTTTCTGCTACTTTCTGCTTATTTTGCGCCCTTCTGCTCCTTTCTCATTCTGATCCCTTTCTGCTCCTCGCAGACCCTTTCTGCTCCCTTTTCTACTTTACCTTTGTGCTCCTTGCTGTCCCTTTCTGCTCCCGTTTCTACTTTACCTTTGTGCTCCTTGCTGTCCCTTTCTGCTCTTTCTCCTACTTTACCTTTGTGCTCCTTCTGATTCTTTCTGCTCCTTTACCTTTGTGCTCCTTGCTGCTCCCGTTTCTACTTTACCTTTGTGCTCCTTGCTGTCCCTTTCTGCTCTTTCTCCTACTTTACCTTTGTGCTCCTTCTGATTCTTTCTGCTCCTTTACCTTTGTGCTCCTTGCTGTCCCTTTCTGCTCCTTGCAGGCCCTTCCTGCTCCTTGCAGGCCCTTTCTGCTCCTTGCAGGCCCTTCCTGCTCCTTGCAGGCCCTTCCTGCTCCTTGCAGGCCCTTCCTGCTCATTCTCCTACTTTACCTTTGTGCTCCTTCTGCCCTTTCCAGCTCATTTCTGACCCTTTCTGCTCCTTCTACTTTACCTTTGTGCTGCTTTACCTTCCAGCTCCTTGCTGACCCTTCCTGTTCATTTCTGTTCCTTTGTGCTCCTTCTCCTACTTTACCTTTTGTGCTCCTTGCTGTCCCTTCCAGCTCCATGCTGCCCCTTCCAGCTCCTTGATGTCCCTTCCTGCTCATTTCTGTTCCTTCTCCTTTTCTTACCTTACCTTCCTGCTCCTTGCTGACTCTTCATGTAGGCTGTCTCCCCCATCCCTCACTTCTATAGCCGTGCGCAAGGGGTGTGTCGGGTGTGCCTGGGCACACCCTAATCCCCGCGGCACGCCAATGGATTGAGACCGGCAGGGGAGATCTCTGGATCTCCCCGGTCGGCTCATGCAGAGCCGACACTATCCGAGCGGCGGCTCTGGTCTAAGCCTCCATGGGCCGGTGGGGAGATCAAAGTTCTACCTCACCGTTCCACAGCAGCATGGAGGGAGGCAGCAGAGAACCCGGGCTAGAATTCACTCTCCACTGAACCACCAGGGAAGGCAGCAGGACTGGGATATTAACTAGTCTGCCCCCACCTCCGCCCAAACATACAGCACACACACATACAGCACACACAGCCCACAAACAGCACCCACACACACACACATCACCCTCGCACACACAGCACCCACACACATACAACACCCACACACACCCAGCACACTAACAGCATCCTCTCAAACACACAAAACCCACACAGCACTCACACACAAACAGCACACTCTCATACAAACAGCACCCTGACAAACACACAACCCCCGCACACAAACAGCACACTAACAGGACCCGAACAAACACGCACACACAAACACCCTCTCACACACACACACACACAGCACACTACCAGTTCCCTCACAAACAGCACCCTCCCACACAGCACACTAAGAGCACCCACACACACACACACACACACACACACAGCAGTGTGCGTGTATATATATATATATATATATATATACACACACACACACACACACACACACACACACACACGGCGTGTGTTTGTGCTTTAGGGTGCACACCCTAATGCAATAGGCTGCGCACGCCTATGCTCACTTCCCTAATCTATAGGCTGCCCCCCACATGCTCACTCCCCTAATCTATAGGCTGCTGCCCCCCCATGCCTCACTCCCCTAATCTATAGGCTACTGCCCCCCAAAAATCTATAGGCTACTGCCCCCCCAAAATCTATAGGCTGCTGCCCCCCCAAAATCTATAGGCTGCTGCCCCCATGCCTCACTCCTAATCTATAAGCTGCTGCCGCCCAAATCTATAGGTTACTTCAAATCTATAGGTTGCTGCCCCCAAATCTATAGGCTGCTGTCCCCCCTAAAAAATCTATAGGCTGCTGCCCCCCCCGAAAAATCTATAGGCTATCTCAAACCCTCCCCCATCCCTCACTTACCTGATCTGTAGGCTGTCTCTGGCTGCATGTGTTGTTCCCCTGCGGTTTCAATCAGCAGAGAGAAGCAAGGATAAGATGCAGCTTCCTATCCCTGTCTCTCTCCATACACAGCGCCACCTACTGGCAGTTCATTCTAAATCTCACACGAAAAATAGCAGAACAAGCTGAAAAATCCGGGGGGGGGGGCAAATGCCCCCCCTTGCCTCCCCAGCGGACGCCCATGGCTGTATCTATGGAGAATCTACCGCGATTCTCCAGAGACCTCAATGCTGTACAGGGCCAGGAACAGAAGAGGACCAGACAGAAAATAAAACGGCGGCACCTGTGAGGGACAGGTTCAGGTAAGTAAATCTCACCTTTCCCTGCCCCACCAATCATGCAAAGTATCCAGACAGTGACAGTTCCGCTTCATAACAAAAGAAACGTAATGAACATCAGTGAATAAATGATACAGCTTGAAAAATGCATTGTTTCTGCTCCCATTGTGAGTTGGATCTGCAATGTAATGATATAGGATTGCTCCATTTAACAAAAGACTAAAGTATTTCATATAAAGTGTGCAATTATGGTTTTCCTTCTAGTAAAATACATATAAATTGTATTAATGTTAACATAACATACAGCCATGGTAATTTAACTCATTTAACTGAACTTTGAGTCCGATGCATATGTATGTTTAATGGATAGACGTCAGGTCCAATAATAATATTTGTGATAGGTTTGATATGTTAGGACAAAAGCATTAAAGTATTTTTCTTGAATTGCCTTCAGAGTCCCTTTTAACTCCACATTAATGCAGCCTGGATATCTAGCAATATGTTCAGCAGATTTCCTAGAGATAATCATTTTACTCATAATAAGGCCTTTGTGTCTCTGGTATGTCCCCAGGCTCGCGCATTCATGAGGCACTGTCATGTTGTGATTGAACCAGGCACATTACCTTCAACATGAGTTTAGCACTTTGCAATTAGTTACCGAGAGCTAGATTTGGCAAAGTGCTAATTCTAACTAACAATCAATCATCTATTTATCCACCCAGGATTGCCATCAGAGCATGGCAAGCACGACGGTTGTCAGGCACCCCAGGGCCCCATATACAGAGAGGGGAAAAAAGTATTTGATCCCCTGCTGATTTTGAACGTTTGCCCACTGACAAAGAAATGATCGGTCAATTATTTTAATGGTAGGTATGTTATGCATTTTATACTACCATAATTGTAATGTATTGGTGAAAAAAACAACCAAAAATCAAAAACATCAGCAACCATGGAAAATACGACAATCTGTCTGGACTTGCATAAGATGTATATGGGTGCCATATAAATGTGTGTGCATTTCTTGAGGCATGCGTGTCTGTAACTCAATCTTATTCATGTCTGCAATAATTAAATAAAAAGAGATTTAACAAAAAAAATTTGTGCAATTATTCGCAAATGTAAGAAACACAAAATAACTGTCAGTCTTCCTCAGTCTGGTGCTACATGCAAGATCTCACCTTGTGGAGTTTCATTCAATGATCATGAGAACGATGAGGACTCAGCCCAGAACTACACTGGAGGATCTTGTTAATGATCTCAATGCAGCTGGGACCATAGTCACCAAGAACACAATTGGTAACACACTAAGCCGTGAAGGACTGAAATCCTGCAGCAACCGCGAGTTCCCCCTGCTCAAGGCACCACATGTACAGGCCTGTCTGAAGTTTGCCAATGAACATCTGAATGATTCAGAGGAGAACTGGGTGAAAGTGTTGTGGTCAGATGAGACCAAAATCGAGATCTTTGGCATCAACGCAACTCACCGTGTTTGGAGCAGGAGGAATGCTGCCTATGACCCCAAGAACAACATCCCCACTGTCAAACATGGAGGTGGAAACATCATGCTTTGGGGGTGTTTTTCTGCTAAGGGGACAGGACAACTGCACCGCATCAAAGGGACAATGGAGGGGCCCATGTACTGTCAAATCTTGGGGGAGAACCTCCTTCCCTCAGCCAAAGCATTGGAAATGGGTCGTGGATGGGTATTCCAGCATGACAATGACCCAAAACACACAGCCAAGGCAACAAAGGAGTGGCTCAAGAAGAAGCACATTAACCCCTTAAGGACCAAACTTCTGGAATAAAAGGGAATCATGACATGTCACACATGTAATGTGTCCTTAAGGGGTTAAGGTCCTGGAGTGGTTTGAGTTGCGAAACATCCTGAGATGTGTGCAAACCTGATGGCCAACTACAAGAAACATCTGACCTCTGTGATTGCCAACAAGGATTTTGCCACTAAGTACTTAGTCGAAGGGTTCAAACACTTATTTCACTCATTAACATGCAAATCAATTTATAACTTTTTCGACATGTGTTTTTCTGGATTTTTTTTGTTATTCTGTCTCCCACTGTTAAAATAAACCTACCATTAAAATTATAGACTGATCATTTCTTTGTCAGTGGGCAAACGTTCAAAATCAGTAGGGGATCAAATACTTTTTCCCCTCACTGTATATAGTAATTATCAGTTCCACACAATAGGTTAGTGCTAAATCTAAAAGAAATTGGTATAGAGGAAAACCTACACACAAACACACTGTATCCTACTACACAAACACACTGCATCCACTGCATCCACTATACAAACACACTGAATCATTGTAGGCGGACTCGGGAGCAGTCACTGTTGGCAGATTCGGGGTGGGCCCTGGGCGCCCAGACCTTGAGCTATGGCAGGGGCACCAAAATTTCTTATGGCAGCCCTGTATCCACCCACCCAGATGATTTTTTTTGACAGTGATACTTTAAAATATATATCTCCCAAAGTGTGCTACAGATTTAAAGACAAACACACATACAGCTGCACAGACACTGACATACATACAGGTACACACACTGAAACACATACAGATGTACAGATAAACAGATACAAATACTGTCACACATGTAGATATACACACACACACACAGATGGAAACATTGACACATCCACACAGATTCACATACTGACACATATACAGATATACACACTGACACACATACAAATGTACAGACATGCAGATACAAATACTGCCACATATGCAGATACACAGATAGACACTGACACACAGATATACATACAGATACACACACTGACATACATACATATGTACAGACACACAGATACAAACACTTCCAAACATGCAGATACACAGACAGAGATGCAAACACTGATACAGTTGCACAGACACACATGCAGATACACACAAAGACACATACAGATGTACAGACACACAGATACAAACAGTGCCACACATGCAGTTAAACAGACAAACATACAAACAATGACACTCATAGATACAGACATGCATACAAACTGACACACATACAGATACACACATATAGAAGTACAGACACAGATATACACATTGACACACATACATATACACATGAAACCCAGAGGGCTGCACTCATATTAACATGCATACTTGTAAGGGTGCTGATGGGATCAGTTTATAACCAAACAAAATATAGAATCCAGAGCACTCACTCATTCACTAAACATCAATTTCTAGTCTTACAGAATGTAATAGTTTTATTTAAAAACACCTCACCTAGGCAAAAAAATGACAGAGAGGGACCTGTGACAGGGAGGGGTGCAAAACCAAGGAGTTTTTCCTGGTCTCCCAAATATATACATGCAACTAAGAGGGCTGCAGGAGGGCACCTTTACGTGTGGGTGCACCTCTACCACTGGATTGTGCCCCTGGGAGTACGAGTACCATGGATTGGTAACCCCTTTTGTTGAAAATCCTACTATTGGACTAGTATGTTGACTTTGAAGTCATTCTAAACCTTTCTTGCACCTTTCTTGAATGTTCACTACCCCAATTTGCAGACACTGAAACTACAATCACACCGGGGAACTTGTTACATTTGGCTCTGGCGCCAGGATGTGCCAGTCAATAGCTATACCTGACCTTTAAAACAGTGCATGAATCACCATATGACAGGAGGCATGAGTCACTCTAACATTTATTAGTACTAATAATTAACGGCACTTCTGCCAGGAATCTCCTGCATATCTGATATTATGGGATGTACACTGTCTGCACTTTGGCCTGTAACCAGCCTTGTTTACATTTATCCTAACTTCATATGTAACTCTCATATACAAGGTGTCCCTCAGGGCCAGGTTAAGGGCCCCTGGGGCCCATTTTTATGGGTCTAATTACAGGAGTATATTAAAGCACCATAACCACTCCAAAGCATTAGTGGTTATGGTGCCAGGAGTGCCCTGGTCCCCTCCCTACCACCTACTGTAAGTAGTCTAATGGCAATTGAAACAGTTTGACCTACTTACCTTGGGTCCGCGGGGTGCCTCTCCCCCCTCATCTACCTC